GGGCTACTCAAATATTTTACGTTTTTGATACTAAATTAACATCTGAAGTATAATTTTTTATTGTTTTTATATTTTTCAATATATTTATTTTGTTTGTACAAAATAAAAAAATAATTTTTAACGATACAATAGTCTTTGTTAGGCTTAACATCGACGAAAATTCAACGCGAAGCGACACGGAACAGAGAAAAATTTCGAAATCGGATAAGTTAAACTATTTTTTCGTACGTAAGTCAGTTATCCGAAATATCAGTTATCCGGACAACCCGAGTCTCCAATTGATTCGGAAAATCGACGCTCTACTGTAATTTTATTATTCTTTCAAATTGCCAATAGCTTAGATCACTTGATAAGTTACCATTTGAATGAATTTGAACTTTATCATTAGAAAAATCAAATTTATTTTTCAGTTTTTAAAATAGAATAATAGGAATCGATTTGGAATATAAATTAATTAAAAATTTATTTTTAATGTGCAAAATGTATCAACCTTACTTTTTGGACAGAGCAACAAATATATTTTTATCTGGATACAAAATATCGGTTTAAGGATTCATTTAGCTAAGTTTATCGACAGTGCAGTAAATAGAGCTCAAGCTTTTGGAGGGCTGCGGTTGGTTACTAACACCTTAGAAAGGAAAATATATTTTGTAGCGCCTTATAAATTTTTGCACTGGGGTTTATGACATTGACGCCTTCACTGGATGCTATGCACTTAGTATACAACTGACGAAACAACTTATTCTATACAAATTGCATGATGTTTAGTTCAAGATCTATCCTTGGCTTGTGTTAAGGAATATCGTAATTAATGCACAAAAAAAATGAAAAACACGGATAATACTAAATGGCCCTCTAAACTACATTATCTATATACAAATGTATATAAACTATTCAGAGATTTTAAATAAGCTAGAATATATATACAGCTCTACTCCTTATAATACGATACAAATGTGATTTCCAAGTTTCGTAAGCTGAAATGTAGGCTATATTAAGTCAATAAACATAAAATGTAGATTTCTACTATAGTATTTTCAAAAATATAGTGTAGAAATTGAACAGAGAAAAATTTCGAAATCGGATAAGTTAAACTATTTTTTCGTACGTAAGTCAGTTATCCGAAATATCAGTTATCCGGACAACCCGAGTCTCCAATTGATTCGGAAAATCGACGCTCTACTGTAATTTTATTATTCTTTCAAATTGCCAATAGCTTAGATCACTTGATAAGTTACCATTTGAATGAATTTGAACTTTATCATTAGAAAAATCAAATTTATTTTTCAGTTTTTAAAATAGAATAATAGGAATCGATTTGGAATATAAATTAATTAAAAATTTATTTTTAATGTGCAAAATGTATCAACCTTACTTTTTGGACAGAGCAACAAATATATTTTTATCTGGATACAAAATATCGGTTTAAGGATTCATTTAGCTAAGTTTATCGACAGTGCAGTAAATAGAGCTCAAGCTTTTGGAGGGCTGCGGTTGGTTACTAACACCTTAGAAAGGAAAATATATTTTGTAGCGCCTTATAAATTTTTGCACTGGGGTTTATGACATTGACGCCTTCACTGGATGCTATGCACTTAGTATACAACTGACGAAACAACTTATTCTATACAAATTGCATGATGTTTAGTTCAAGATCTATCCTTGGCTTGTGTTAAGGAATATCATAATTAATGCACAAAAAAAATGAAAAACACGGATAATACTAAATGGCCCTCTAAACTACATTATCTATATACAAATGTATACAAACTATTCAGAGATTTTAAATAAGCTAGAATATATATACAGCTCTACTCCTTATAATACGATACAAATGTGATTTCCAAGTTTCGTAAGCTGAAATGTAGGCTATATTAAGTCAATAAACATAAAATGTAGATTTCTACTATAGTATTTTCAAAAATATAGTGTAGAAATTTAAATTTTTCATTTCTATATATATTTCCTAATTTTTTCCAAATTACTATATATTAATTTTAGGATTAGTAGGAAATTTTTCCAAATTTGCTGTAAATAGCGCATAACTGTGATTTTCTTTTTCCTTCGATATTCTATCAATAAATTTGTAAAATCAAATGTTTCATTTGTAAATTGAGGTGAACCCCCATAGACATTTTCTTAGTTCAAAGTCAGCTGAGCTTGAAAACCTACTGCTTGTACATTAATATTGTGAATATAATTTCTCATTCGTTACGCTAAGCACAAACAGATATTTCGCCAATGCGCGGATAATCAGAAGTTCGATGTAGTTATAAATGCAAATGTACCTTTAAAATAAATATCTTAAATTGATTACTACTAACTAGTTGTTTCTACTTCTATGGAGTTTCTCATGTATTTGTATGTATAAGAGCTAATCTTCTATACATATAAAAATGTTTTTTGCTTGTTTGTTCGCTATGCACTCCTAGGCCGTTCGACTAATTGCTTCGAAACTCGGCACTTACGTTTAATTACTCGTAACTTAGATAATGCCATACATCTCTCTCCAAAATATTTATTGCATTTTTCTAAATCAATTAATTTTTATTTAAATTCGATTTTCTGATTTACACGTAGCACCATCTATTGGCAATAGTGTTAACAAAATAATTAACTAAATATAATTCTTACAAAAAAGAATATAATTTAAAAAATATATATATATATTATATTCACTGAATTATTGCGACAATGATATAACACGAAATAGATGCGCCATTACTACGACATAGCACTTGCCTGTGTGGAGTGTAGTAGTGTTTTGCCCCTGCACATGGCACTTTTCCTGTTAGCATTAGAGTCGTGTCAGTCATCTCTGTTGGGGAACTTTTGAATTGAAGTAACGTGGCTTCCGGTCCAAACCGGAAGTTTATACATAGTTAATCTGGACTTTCTGCCCTAGACTTTCTATATTTCGTCTCGATTTTTATCTATCTATCTATCCTTTCTCGAGATTAAAGAACAATAGTCAGTGGAAATTTATAGGTCTACAGTTTTTTTCAAATTGCAGCCGAATAATTTTTCTATATATCAGGGGTGGCCAACCTGCGGCTCGCGAGCCACATGCGGCTCTTTGAAGGATTATTTTGGCTCTCGATAAATGTACCCGAGTTCCCTTTTCATTTTTGTGTTATTATATTTTTAAAAAATTATTATCGTTCCGTATGTGTTTCAAAATGTCTTTTAAATTACTAACAACAAATATGAAAGACTAAGTGCAACGTTGTAACAAATTTCATTTCCGTCCAAGTTAAGAATGATATGACTCATCGAAAACTGCGCGAACGAACATAAACAGTGGCGTAATCGTCCGTTATCGACCGACTCCAGACCGATTTTGAATTTGTTAACTGTCATTGCAACGGACAGTTGACATTGTGCTCTGGAGGAAACAATTTGTATCACTCTTGCTACGGATATAATTTGTATTCTGGAATTTTTTGCATACCTTTTTAATACGTATTTAATTGCGGCTCGCGAAAAATTTCAAATTTTGAAAAATGGCTCGGACTATCAAGGAGCTTGGCCACCCTGGGGCTATATATATTCACGAGAACATACTTCCCATGTAGTTTATATTTTTGCAACAGATTATATAAACACTTTATCAACACACAGTCTTGTACAAATACGAGAATAAATTGCTTTCATTCTTATTCTTGCTCTCAAGTCATATGAAGTCTTTCGAACATTAAGGTTAGCAACTTCGATCACATGAGGAGTCATCACAACCTGTCTAATACGGATCACTTTACAAATATTAATATAGATCACTATTAATTTGTAGTCGTTGGCCATCCTCTCTCCCCGAGAGGTCAACGACTACTTTTGGTCGAATTATTTCGACACCCTTCCGCAACACTACCTTCTTTTTATCGGACCATGCGATATGGTAGCATTCGAATAGGAAAATTACATATGAGGTTAACGGCCAGCAAAATATGTTTTAAGTGGTTTTTGAGGTTCCCGAGTTTGAATATTTGGTCTGTCTTTCGTAAAATTTGATTGATTGTGCAATTCACAGCCTAAACTGTGATCTGTCAATTTCTTAATGTCAGAGTTAACATTAGGAAAAAATATTAATATATATTAAGTTTTTTTACTTGACCAATTTCGTATCATCCCAGTATCGCGATAAACGTGACGATGGTAGAGCTAAAATAAAATAACCTTTCTTGTTATATAAATCAAATATTATAACAGAACAAAAACATTAAAACGAAAACTATACAAAAAGTTTGGTTATCTTACGTAAGTCAAATATTATAATTATTTCGTACTTTTAACCCTTCTATTATATTAATCTAATAATCTGTATTTATATTATTACTAGCAGATGAACCCGGCAAAAAATAACAGTACTGTAAATGCAACAGCAGAAATCTAGCTTTACTATTTTAGGCTCTCATACACACAATTTTTAGTATTAAGTGTTTTTTTTAACTGTGAGATAATTTGTAGTTTCTCACAATCATTCAAACCGTAAGAAAATTTGTTTGCTAATAACTAACAAAAATCGATATACACATAAACAAGCATTTTAAAATTATTTATTTGTACATTATATACAAAATATGTATAAAACTGTTTGAGAACACAAAATAATAAGAAAACTTTTTCAGGTTCTGGGCCCGAGATAACTGCGGGTGCGTATAAATATTTAAATACATTAATTGTCAAGACAGTTAGCAAAATCTATTTTCAGTTCATTATATGTATTTTTACAAATTTTAACAGGAGAATATGAAAAATCGTGACAAGTGGAATAATCACAGCAAGTAGAGATATACATATATATCTATGACTAGCAAATAAAACATTATATATTGTTCATTTTATACACCTTAAAAGTGAGTAAGTAATCTTACTTTCTTATTATCTGCATAAACTTAAATTGCAAAATACTATATTATATAAACTAACATCTTTTACTAGACTTTGGTCCACACTGCGTTAGTCCTTCGAATCTTCTAAAAGTGTAGTTTACGAATACCCAGTCCTTGCAGTTGGCTTCACTGTCTTTGGGTGGTACAGCAGCTACAAAAATGACATAAATTTTATTTATGAAAGTTTTTAATTTTTTACACTATCCTAAGCCATGCTTGTAATTTAATATGATATGTTAAATTATTGCACTAATATGTTTGTTTGTTTTGGATGTTTAAATCCAAAACAAACAAACAAACAAAACCAACATTAATAGGGTAAACGGTCACCCTTATCTTACACAAAGTTTACAGCATGTAACTGTGCTTTCCATGAGGTGATCAACTACTCCAGAATCAAATAAGTGCCATTCCTCCTGTAGAGCAGTTTTCAACTTTGTGAGAGTGGCAGGGGATGGGAAACACAGCACGGCCGAGGGCATCCAAAGATTCTCAATGGGATTGAGGACTGGCAAATACACCGGCCAATCCACATGCACAATTCCCTCACTCTTGAGGTAGTCATCGACGAGGGCAGCTCCATTATCATCCATTAAAACAAAAGCAGGACCAACTGCTGTAGCATACAATTTCACAATGAGTTCGAGAACTTCATCCCGATACCAGTCAGTCGTCACAGAACCTCCTCGATAGATCGGTGCGATATCCCAACGAAATGCGTGCCCATGCCATAATGCTTCCACCTTGGAATGTGTGTTGCTTGATGATGTTCTGGGGTCGATTGTGTGTGCCTTTTTCTCTCCATACTCTTACATGTTTGTCATCTGGCTCCAGGGAAAATCATGACTCATCCGTGAACATAACGTTGCCCCAATCAGACACAGTCCAATTCACATGTTGCCGACACCACTTTAATCGTGTGCCTCTGGATTAGATGGACAGTGGAACACAAACTCATGGTACCCAGGCGTACAGTCCGTTCACGTGTAGCCTTCAGCACACAGTAGTAGCAGATATCGTTTTACCAATGTCTGCTGCAACCATCAATTTCACATGTGTAGAGGTTGCTCTTTGATTCCGCTTGGCTACAACAACAACAATATAGCAATTTTCTGAAGGGGTTGTAACTCTTGGGTGACCGGCCACAGGTGTTTGGAATTGTTTCCATAACCGTGAAATGACGGAATGAACACCGAAGAAAAGAACAACATCTGTGATTGATTGTCCTGCTTTAAGGCATCTCACACACAGCCAGCACTCAGTGTCTGTCATTTGTCTTCTAGAAGTCATAGAAACATGTCAGTCATGCACACTAATTGTACGACAGTTCTCCACTTTCTCAGCACTTACGTGCAACTCCTCTCACTCTTCAGAAGGCTGGCTTCTTATACGACTGCCTGTTTTGCATATTTTGTGACACGTAACCATTATTGATAGTAACATAACATATTTGCATACTTCCACCTACCTCTGCAGTGAATTGCAGCCTCTCAAATGGAGATTGCTTTCTGGACATGAACATTTTCTGCTCTGTGCTTAACTTTTGGCAGTGAGTGTATTACATATTATACACATTAGGTCTGAAAGAGGTTAGGAAGCTTCCTGTATATATAATTAAGGGGCAGATATACATGAATTTAAAATATCTGAAATATGCCAATAAAAGTAGGTTAAAAATATCTATTAGGTAGAAAATGATAGACCTAATGTCTATCATTTTCTACCTAAAAAGTGTGATATAATATGTGAAAATAGGTGTCACAAAACAAAGTTTCATTTAGGTGGCATGAATTGAAGTCAATTATGAATAAATTTACATGTTCAATAAAATTTTGTAATGATTTATTATATCAGGGATGACAACCTTTTTCTATGTAAGGGCCACATTTTAAAACTTTTGAACTGATGCAGGCTGCATACAAGAGAAAAGAGGAAAAAAAAAATGAAAAAATGCAGGTAAATCACAATTATTTATTAGCATATGTAAACATAATATATTGGAAATATTTGGTTAAATATTAGTCACTGCTAGTTTGAAATTAGTTTCAATGTATCTGTTAGCCAGTTTCTTGTTTTAATTTTTACTAAATTCATTGCAGAAAAACTATTCACATACATAAGTTGTAGAAATAACACTTGAATTTTTGCTGCATACTTTCTTAAGCTGGGAAATTGATATATTTATTCATATTTTATGCAATGCAGCCTGGGACTACAGGTTGCCCATCCCTGCATTATATTATATAGAAATAAATTCAATAACTTTCTATATTTACAAAACATTTGAGGATGACTAGGCTAACATAGTTTCCCTTGTTCTATACTTTTGTCACTAATCTATAGTAGTAGTAGTATATTTTTGTTTCTAGCCCTGTACAAATTAGAACATTTATTCATTTTTCATCAAGTTATTAACTTAATTTTAATACTAAACTACTTACTATTAAGTTATATTAGTGTTTTACTGTTTTATTCCCAACTGATATCAAACCAGAACTTATCTGTAAAAGATTTTGAGAACTTGAAAAATGAGTGTGAATGGTTGTCTCTTTAATCCTTTCGGTAGACTATCTTATAGCATCAGGTTAATGAATTCTTTTATTATATTTTTACATATTTGAAAAATGAGCTTGTACAGTATATTTCCATGGAACTTTAGATAGTTCAAAGCTAAATTGCATTATTTTAAAACATTTGGATTATACTTCTTTGTATGCTTTCAAATGATCTATCTAAAGTATTTATTTTAGTTCAAAAATGGTCAAATTTGCAAAATATATAATAAAAATCACAAATGCATCAAAATAAGCATTATTGGACAACCTTAATTTGATCCACTTAGCATTTGTTATAAACATGCATGCACCTGCATAAATCATAATCATATAAATCCAGTGGAAAAACTTCAGAAAGAAATTTAAATTTGTAATGAGAAATATATGAATGAGTTAAATCTTGTTGAAACAATTTCTGAAATCTTCACATCAGCACACAATGTTATGCAGCAGAGTTAACCACCTTTTGTATGTTCTTCACCATCTTATTTAGATGGGGAAGAACATACAAAAGAATAATGCAAGAACAACTTTTTAGCGTTATTGACTAAAAAGTTGTCCTGGCTTTATATTTTTTAGAACTGAAATTCTTTACACATATATGCTGTAATTTTGAATTAGCAAAGACACATCATCATATATTCAGATGGAGAAGATTATAAAAAAAAAGGATTAAAATACTTTGAATTGTTCTTCCAGACTGCTTTTACACATTGTATAAGTATTTATGATCATAGTTATTAAGTTTTGGATAGTTTCATTCTAAATAGAATTGATTTCTAATAATGATATCAAACTTATTGGATAGATTAACTTACAGATTTTAAGTTCTACGTCCGGAAATTCGTCAAAGTTAGAAGTGTCATCTATACTTTTCACTTCAGTGGGAATAGCTGCAGGACGTTCTCTATTCAGGGAAAAAATTAAAATTAAATAAAATTATTTGCAATATTAATAAATAAAAAGATTAAAACAACAAACCTGATATGTTCCCAATCAACACCTCTGAAGAAAGGATGTTGTCTGATTTCATTGATGCCACTGTTTGCCCCTATCCTCAAATTAGCTTCACAGCAAAAATGCTGGATCAGATCACGAGATTCAGAGGACACTGGAACTTCAGGAGGGAAGATTAAAGTCTGTCTCCAGTTCATCACTTTTCTGTATGTCTCTTGGGGTGTTTCTGAACAAAATGGTGGATAACCTAAAATGATATGTGATATTAATTTATTATAGATATTTTGTTCACAGAACCAAAGTATGGTTATTATTCCTTCCTCTATAATCCTAAGCTAGTAGGTTTAAGAATTTTAATCAGCAATTCCAACATCCAAAAGTTTACAATGACAAAACAATTTTTATTAACTAATTTTCTTATTGCACACACATTTCAGAATGATGTAAAAATTCCATTCCTTCTTCAGTGCTAAGACTACAAGTAGAACATTTTGTACAATCATAAAATTACATCTATAACTTATAATTACTTAAATTTGGAGATGTTTATAAAATTGTAACACCAAATGAATAAAGAGTACATAGACTCTCCAATAATTTGGTTAACAGATGTGACACTTCACAGTATCCAATTGTGATGATATGCCAGAAATGTAAAATTTTTTATAAGTATGCATATCATTTTGTAAATTCTTCTTGGTAATTTTTAGTAACATACTTAAAATAACACTAATTGCTTTATCATCATCATGTTAAGCAAGAATAAAACCAAATTATTTATTGTTATTAAATGACAAATATAGTATTCACCCAGCAGTGTCTGATCACACAAAACTTGATAGTTGTTGTGGGTTTGCACTTCACCAACAAACTGGCCATATGGAGTTTTCTATCATGAATTTTTGTCATGTATATGTTTTTAAAAAATAAGGCTAGAAGAAACTGCTACTTTATGATGATTCATATATATAAGCAGATATTGTATGTACACACACACTATCACATTGAGCATAAATAAGCAGCTACTGTATGTGTATGAGTTCTAGAACAAAAATAAAATCATTAAGTTTGGACTTATAATGTGCTTTCTTACATCAAATGGCATACAAAGCAACAAAGATAGTTATCTATATAAAATTCATCATAATAGTTATTCAAATATTAGAATTTTTGAAGAACAAATTAAAAAATATATAGTAGAGTACAAAATAAACCAAAACTTTTTATAATAACAAGCAACTGCTATAATTGCAAGCATATGTTAGTACAGTCGACCCCCCCTATAACACGGGTTCATATAGTTTGGATTCCTATATCACGGCAAAAAAATTGCAACGGTATTCATACAAACATGCTAAAAAAAACTCCTATAATTCGGTAAAATATTATCGCCGACTTGTGTCACGACAGGTTTGCACGAACTGTTGAGTTTAAACGAGCAGCGGACCTACCAAAAACCATTTATTACTTAATGTCCATAAAAATTATATTTGTATTAATGTCTCTAAAGTTCAGTGAATTTTTTGGAAAAAAAAAAATTTATTAAGAAGCATGCGAGTGCCATTCGATGACAATCTCCATGACAAAAACAAGCTTAAGCAACAGTGTAGTTGAATGATGCACACTCAGTAAGTAATCCTACAATTTTTTGTTTATAGCATAGCTTATATGGATTATTCCCAAAAAATTATATGTATTTTGGAAATGTTGAGTCAAATTAGTCTAGAATTGATTAATTTTATGGAAGAAACCTTTCAAACAGCTGTAGTCTGTAAACTGCATACGTGCCGGGCAGTGATTGGCTGGACTCCTAGAAGTTGGATTCATAAAAACAGGAACATATCTACCGTGTTATAGGGGGGTCGGCTGTATTCTTCAACATGAAGTAATGTTTGCCAAATATCATTTTAATCCATTTGAATACAAAGTTTATCATGAGCCTTTTATGATTTAGTGTCCCCTTTTATCAGAAAAATAACTAACATGCACTTATATAGCATAAATAAAATTTAAAAGCTTTAGATTTAAAAAATTAGAACATCCTACATATCTAAATACAGTATTAAAAAAAATTATTCATTTCTTTCCATTTCTTATTATCCTTTCATTTTGCCTACATACTTGCCTACACACAATATTTAAAAATAACTAGAATGATCAGTAATCTAAATATTAAAAAAGAATTATTCTATTTATTAGTACTTTAAGATTAAATCACTTTACACTTAAAAATACAGTGGTACCTCGGTATACGTCTGCTTTAGAATATGTCCAATTCGGAATACATCCTGTTTGGACAAAACAAATTTTGCTCAGTAAACGACTTAATTCAATTATACATGCTATATAGATAGCATGTATAATTGAATTAAGTAGCATTAGTAGAATTAAGAAACAAGTAGCATTATCGATGTACTAGACCAGACTAGACGTTTGATGTCAAAGTTATAAACCGTTGTGGTGCAACGGTTTATAACTTTGTTAAATTTCTTCCGATTTTAATTTGTATGTAAAATTTTATTTTTTTTATTAATCATGAATTGCAAAAAGGCAAATGAAAAGCAACAGAAAACTAAAAAATGACTAGAATTACAATGGAAGTGATAAAAGAGATTGTTGAGGTGGAATGTGTTTGAGATTTTAACTGTTGCATACCGTATTCCGAGAACGACGATATCGACAATTGTGAAAAATAAAGACATTATTAAATCTGTTAACATTGCGAAAGGGGTTAAATCAATTTATAAACAGAGATTGAAGACATTAGATCATGTTGAGAAATTGCTTTTGCTTTGGATAACTGAAAAACAATGTGCTGGAGACAACGTATCAGAAGCAATTATTTGCAAGAAAGCTAAAAAGATACATGCTGATCTCATGAAAAATCAAGCAGGAACTAGCCAGGAAAGCGAGGTGTTTAAAGCCAGCCATTTAATTTGTTCTCATGTAAAAAAAAATCATTTTTACATTACTTCTTATACTGAATTGGACATATAGAAAACCAACCTTTCCTATAAGTCCAAACATCAGGAACAGAGTAAGGTTGTATACCAAGGTTCCACTGTAATATTGTTTGATTGGAAAATTTTTCTGCACTCTGAAAATTTTATGATGTGTTTGTTGTTGTTACATTCTATGTATTGAATTATGTAATGTGTGCTGTTGGGATTCTGAAATGATACATCATGAGCTTAAAGAAGCATAAGGAAATAACATCATGTTGCACATGTCTTTTAAAAAAGGCCATAAATCAGCAGAGGACAACTCCCATTCTGACAGAACAGATTCAGTAAGAAATAAACAATTTCCACAAAGAGGTCAGAAAACCATAGATAATGAATAGAAATCAAAGTCAACATTTTGCAAATTTCACATGATTAAGCACAGTAATCTTCCAAAATAATTAACAGATGAATAATATGAAGAACGTGCACTCATTAGTGAAGACACAGTCGATAAAGATCAAAACATCCTAAATACAACTAGTGATGAAACTATCATTTCAGAGTAAACAGGTTTCTTCACCAGAGCAGAAAAATTTTTGTCTCAGCAGATCAAAAAGGAAGGTAACGCTTGTGGTTTTTTTGGTATGTGAAAGACTTGTTATGCACAAGTTATTATAAGCATAATGAGAGTTCCATTTTTGAAATAGTAATTGCTTTGAATGTTATAATAAATTCTCAAACTTACCTATTAGCATCTCATACATAATAACTCCCAGAGACCACCAATCACATGAACTGTTATAACCTGTTTGCATAAATACTTCAGGTGCAATATAATCTGGTGTGCCTACAGTTGAATATGCCTTAAAAAAGATTTTCATTAGAATCCTGTTCTGTACATTTGATAAAATAACATATATAAAAAATAAAAACTTACTAGCTGCCTTCTGTTTCTTTTCCAGCTTTCAGCTCGTCTCTTTGAATCCATTGGATTACAAGCTAAGTAAGAAATTTATTATAAAATTGCATTTTATATGAAAGTGATGAAAAACAGAAATAGTAATAATAACAATGTATATATATTTACTGAAATCACTGGGTTTTGCGCTTGATAAATTTCTGTAAAATTCAGTTCTATGCGATTTCTTTAATCCTGTACAGAGACCAAAATCAGACAATTTGATATGACCCTGAAATAAGAAACAAGTTTTACAATCTTTTTAACAATTATTTTAAAAAAATTCATTATTATAAAAAACTCACTCTTGCATCCAGTAATAAATTATCAGGTTTAATATCTCTATGAATAAATCCCAATTTGTGAATTGATTCTATAGCTAAAGCAGTTTCAGCAATATAGAACTGAGTGCTTTCTTCTGTTAAAGTATCTTTCTTCATTAAAAGTGTCATCATATCACCTGAAAAAATAAAAATATATTATAATGTCAATTATCAGCCTTTAATTCATATAATACAAATACATTATAGCATATATATATATATAAAATGAAATTAATATATTAGAATTTATTCAGAGAGGAGGAGCTAAAATAACCTGGAAGTTTTGCAGTTCTAATATGAATATAAACACATTAAACAACAAAAGTAGTGCTTCCAAGTATATGATCAACACTCAAATCAGTACCAACATTTTAATTATAAAATTGTCTAGATGATTCTGAATAACAGTAGCATGATATTCATCAATGTGAAATCTTTTTACTTCTTATATAAATGGTCTTATATGATTTTTATAAACTATATTAATGAACATAAAAATATGTTAACAACATACAGTTTTTCCATACAGATGTAAATATTGAGTTCACATATCAAGAAGTGGTTAAGGGTTGTATAGTTGTTGTGGACAAAAGGTAAGGGCTATGGAATATTCAAGTATTTAATTCCCCCTTTGTGATAGTTCCAATCTATTCCAGCAACAATTATATGACAGAAAAAGAGGAAATAAGAACAAAGAAAACAAGTGTGTGCATGATATTGTTGAACTAAAGGCAAGGTTCCTCAAACTTGAATGAAAGAAGCCACTTGAATTTGTTAATTTATTCAGGCAATTTCTCCAATCTCTTCTTGAACAAAAGTGATATGCAACGACAAAATTATGTTTCTGAATAAAGTTTTCTCCCATAGAATTTAATCTTTAAAGAAAACAATATTAGATTCTTTCTTTAATTTCATTATTCACATTCACTTTTTCATATGATAATATGAGAGAAAGAATCTATCATTTTTCACATTCGCATTAGAAATATTTCTAGTCTTATAGGGCCTATAATTATTCATTAATTGTTGTAAATAAGTCAAGCAATAATTATTACTCACTAATTGACATTTTGCAAGTTGAAATAAAATTAAAGTTAACAAAATCATCACCACTAATAATAAAAATAATTTTTTAAATTATAGCAGTTTGAAGTTACATATGTTAGTTTATAACATGCAGCAAAATTCTGTTCTAAAAAGATATATTATGTTGGAACAATGTTACTTACAATGTTTACATATAATGTAAATTTAAATATTGAGTTCCAAATTTAATAAAGTAAAGATAACCTGTATAATAAGTGAAAATAACATATATTCAAAATTTAGAAAATTGACAATATGCCAAATTAATTAAACATTTATGTTTTTTTCATAAATTCCTTTGACAATTTCAGAAATTTTGAAAAATATATCTTTTTGACAATTTAGTTTAAAATAATAAAACAAAGAAGAAAATACAAATCATGTATAAATTGAAACAAAATATAAAGTTAATTAAAATTAAGATAGAATAATTTCCTTCAAAAAGAAATGTAATCACAACACTAAAAAATAGATGTTTTATTTAGTAAAATAAAGTTAAAGTGAAGTGAAAAAAATCTGTTAATAGAATGAAACTATATTTAATTAAAAGTTAACACATTTAGGATCACAATAGAAAGGTATAAAATATCAAAATTGGCTATGCTCTTTTCTTATGGACAAAATAGCACGGAAATTATGGCAAATTAATATTTTTTCTTCATTGTTAAAAAACACTTTTTCTTGAGTTTTAGATGTGTTGTGGAATTGCAACATGTGGCCTAAATGATTTTTTTCCAATCATGTTATGCTATCTTCTATTCTTCTATGCTTATCAGGTTTTAAATTCAATAAAACTTCAACAAAATAAATGCATAAATGAATCAATACAAATCAAGAAAAATAGGTATATAATTTTTGTGTTGTATTCTAATGTTTTTTTTTACTGCTTTTGTTCACTAAAAGAAAATGAGGACTGTTTCTCAAATATTTGTTTCTGTGCTTTATATTTTCATGATATTGTACATATTCACGTTGACTGTGCAAAAAAAAAATTAGGAAAGGCAAACTTTACATATTTTTTGTGTTTTATAGGGGAAAAAATTAAATTTCTATTATAATTCTATCATAAAAAGTTTACTGGGCCAAGCACAATTTCCATATCCACAGACCATACTCTAACTACTTCCATTACATTTATTTTGGAGCAACTTGCTAGCAGTATAACAGTAAGCTTCCGACACAATGTTATGATTACTACACCCTGATAATATATATCAATATTCATATATTGATTAGTATATTAAATTACAAGAAACAATTATCAATGTTAATTTTAAATAATTAAAAGCAATGTATTTTTCATATTTTTTCTTTCATATGAAAAAAATTTTTCATAATTTACAAGCATTGGAATAAATAAAATTTTTTATGATGTTATAATTTTTGTAGGTTTTTTAGTTGTTATTAGCATTTACAAACTTTTTATAAAAAACTCATCCCTACCCTTGAAATTAAGCTTTTTTCCATTTTATAAGAATTAACATTAAATGATATTTAAGATGACATTAAAACTACATGTGGTACCATCTGTTACAATATTTTATTTTAAAACTTTTTATATTTTTAAAGATAAGCATGGGAACCTACATTAGATAATAAATTGATTATGAAAAGTTTCATTTTAAGAAGACTGTGAATTAGAACTTCATAAAAATAGATAGTCAATAGAAATATAAATGTGGACATGGCAGTATTTTTAAAAGATAATTCACAGTTTTTAAAACTTTCAGGTCAGACCTTTTAGGTATCATAATTCTGTTGACTGACTTTTGCTGGCCTTTTTAAATTCTTGCGTGTTTGAAAACAAATAACTTTATGGTTTTTATAACAATGTACACAAATGTAAAACCCAATTTTTTTAGCCTTTATTTATAATTGCACCATTTGAAAAATGCATGCTCAATTCTGATTGGATAATTAATTATTTTCATTTTATTTAATGTTTTCTGCCCTTTGACAAAGATCTATGATGATGTGTGCAATGAAATTTTAGTTTTTGTTTCGTTTATATGCAATTCCAATAAATATGAAAATTTGCACACTATAAAAATAGTGCATTAATCTGCAATAATTTGATGTTTAGTTCTTGTTCTTATTTGTATTTACATGAAACATTACAATTATTATTAATCAATTTAATAACTTCAACGAAAAAAAATGGAAAAACTATTTATTGTGAAAAAAAAATTTAATTAAAGACATATTTGGAATATCTATTTCAAATTTCAAACTTAAAATTTTGTCAATAGATACAGCTAGAAGTGAACTACTTACAAAAGGACAATGGCCATAGGAAATACAAGCAGACACATTAAAGACCAAAGGATACAAAAAAATTACAGGTATATTACTGGGTCAAAGGTCATTTCCATTCTCACCAACAGGAATTGTTAACAAAGTTTATAGATAGACATTAAAATGTTCTAAAATTATAAGAGGCATCAGCTCACAAAGCTTATTTTATTAACAAGTGTTGCAGAATTTTGATTAAAATTCTTGTTATTACAGACTGTCTTATTTTAAGTAAGAATTTTAGTTCTTTAGTCATTAAAATTGAAAACAAGATTCAAGCAAGTATTGTTTGTAATTAAAGAAAAAGAAAAACTATCTATTAAACGGAGTTTTAAGTTCTAAATATACAGCTAGTTTATTGTTCACAATCACACTATTCAGTAAATGATCTAATTAAAATATTAACTTACTAATAAATTTTAAATAAAAACATTTTAATAAATTCAGTAGTCGACCACCCTATAACACTGTTGATAATTCCATTTTATTTGAATTCCATGTTGTACGAGTCACTTAGATTTTACAAATACGTGAGCCATTCACAGCGCGGCACACATATTTGTAAAATCTAAGTGACTCATACAACATGGAATTCATATAAAACAGAATTATCAACAGTGTTATAGGGGGGATCGACTGTATTTGTAATGAACATAACATATCAATATTTCTGAAAAAAGGTCTAGTGCTTAATACTACTTCTAATCTGACAAATTTCTGTACTTTTTTTTTATTCCTATTATTACACTTTTAAAATAAATAAATAAATAAATAAATAAATAAATAAATAAATAAATACAAAAGTGAATGTTGACATTATACTGATAAACTGAAATTATAATAATTTATAGAAATTTGTAACAAATTAAATACATTTAACATCAAAAAGCTTCAAGGTTATTAGTATAATGTTTTCAGTTTCAAAAAAAATGCTGAATTGTTTTATTTCAACCAGTGGCAAACCCTAGCAAATCATATAGTTTTAGTTATCTTAAATGGTGAACATTTTAAGATAACTTAGTATTTTTACATATTTAATTTATAATAAAGAAATGTGTTTTTGTAAATTGTTATTTATGAAATTATATCTAGAAATATTTAATTCTTATTTCATTATTTTCAGAATTAAAAAAATAAAAAATGTTATATTATAATAAATATGATCAATATTTTTGAAGTACCTCCAGGAAGAAATTCCATTACAAGATATAAATTCATCATATCTTGAAAACTATAGTACATTTTTACAACCCACTGATGATCAGCTTCAACTAAAATATCTCTCTCTGCTCTAACATGGGCCACCTGAAAAAAATACAAGAATTTAATTTAATTCTTTTGTTGATTCAAAATTAAAGGCAATCCTTATATTCACATGATATTATTATGCAATGCATTTAACTGAGTAAGTTTGAATATCTTTTAATTGAAAAGAAAAAAAAATAGAAAGTTTAGGAAATTATACCAAGATATTTCAGAGTAACTAACAAATGAATAAATATATTGTTACCATTCTTTAGTATGAAAAATTAATGTTGTTAACATTTTTATTGATTTAAATAAATTAACTGTTTTGCTTATCATCATCAACATATTCAAAAAAAAAAAAAAAATACTAAAACTTTTCTGGGATTAATTTAAAAATCCTTAATAGTACCTTTACATTTGCCTAAGATCTTATATAGTATATTTTATAGATTTTTGTCCAATGGTGATAATTATGATTAATTATTTGAAGACATAGTCCTTTCCAAAAAAAGAAACCACTATTTATTAGCTTAGTGTTCCAGACAATACATTCTTGGTGACTGACCTTCCTTTCTAGGCTTTTTTAGGAAGGACTATGTCTTCAAATAATTAATTAATTAATCATAATTATCGCTATCGGACAAAAATCTACAAAAAATATTTTAAAGTATTGTCACCAGGGGGCAGCTTTCCTAATCTACACTTTACCAGCACTTATTTTGTTGTAGATAAAAGCCGGGACAAGAGACAACCCCAAGAAGGTATGATGAAGAAAAGAAGACATCTATATATCACTAGTTCCTGTTTTAAAAATGTCTGTATTTTTAATTGGATGTATTCTTGTGTTTTTAAAGGACTTTTTGGTGGCTTGTAGCCTAGAAAGGAAAGTCAGTTGCCAAGAATGTATTGTCTGAAACACACAGCTAATAAATAGCGGTTTCTTTTTTTGGGAAGGACTATGTCTTCAAATAATTAATCTTATATAGTAAATTATAGTATTCTTTAAATTCAAATGATCTTAACTAAACATTTACATCATATGCAAATTAATATCTGTTTTATAAATACAGTGAACCTCGGTTGATGACCTTAATCCGTTCCCGATATTTGGACTTATACCAAATTGGACGTATACCAAACCAACCTTTCCCATAAGAAGTAATGTAAAAATGATTAATCCGTTCTCGTGTAAAAAAAATGGCTGGCTTTAAACACCCCACTTTCCTGGCTAGTTCCTGCTTGATTTTTTGTGAGATCAGCGTGTATCTTTTTAGCTTTCTCGCAAATAATTGCTTCCGATACGCTGTCTCCAGCACTGTTTTTCAGTTATCCAAAGCAAAAGCAATTTCTCGACATGATCTAATGTCTTCGATCTCTGTTTAGAAATTGATTTAACCCCTTTCACAATGTTAGCACATTTAATAATGTCTTTATTTTTCGCAATTATCCATATCGTCGTTCTCGGAATACGGTAGGCAACAGTTAAAATCTCAAACACGCGTGCCACCTCAACAATCTCTTTTATCAATTCCATTGTGATTCTAGTCATTTTTTTAGTTTTCTGTTGCTTTTCATTTGCCTTTTTGCAATTCATGATTAATAAAAATAATAAAATTTTACTTACAAATTAAAATCAAAAGAAATTTAACAAAGTTATAAACCGTAGCACCACAAACGTCTAGTCTGGTGTATTACACCGATAGTGCTACTTATTTATTGACAGCGCATATAATTGAATTATGTCGTATACCAAACAAAAGTTGTATACCAAGCAAAATTTGTTTCGACCAAACAGGACGTATTCTGAATTGGACGTATTCTAAAGCAGACGTATACCGAGGTACCACTGTATAGTAATCCCAATTATCCAAGATAATAGAAACTAAGGATATCAGAGATAATAAAAAACTCAAACACAGAATGCTTTGGTAGATGGATAGCTTTGCAAATTCTTAAATACACTGACTTTGGATGGACTTACTATTTACTGCATGATTACTGCAATATGCTAATGTATACTGTATTAGTGTTTTTAAAAATAATTTTTAAGATAAAATGCACTACTTAGAATATAATAATAATGAACATGTAGGTAATGAAATCATAAAAATTTCCTAAAATTCATACAGATTTAAAGAACATTTAAGTCGGGTTGCCAAAGTGGTCGATATAACATTATTAAGGGGGGGGGTCGATTATCAAGCTTATCCATCTCACTGATTGTCAGTTACAAAAATTATTATTAACATATATACAATAAATGCAAAATTAAAAGAAATGTATTAAAATAGTAAGTACTTTGTTTTGCTATAACACAAACTGTTTGATGGGGGTCGATGTGAAGTTTTGAAAACTAGGAGAGCGATGATCAAAAAAGTTTGGCAACCATTGATTTAAGTGGTAAATAAAGCAAAATTGTCATCAAAATAATACAATTCAATTCTTCATTTGTCAAGTTTTGACAATAGTTTACTTCATTTCTTTCTCCCTTTTTATTACAATCTAGACCAGTTTCATTATCAACCTTTGTATTATTTATAAAAAAAAAAATAATTAAAATTGAAATGAAACACAAAAGATACTGTCAGCATTGAATAAATGACTTGTCTTAAGTGAAGCATTTGAATTTGACCCAAAGCTCTTGTGCCATTCAATCACCATACTAAGTGCATTTGCTCCTCAATTGCAGTCAATTTGACTAAGGAATGATATGTTTCTGTTGTGATTTTTTATTTAAATTTATTTTTCATGAAATAGTTCTTTAAATTCTCAGCTAAATTGTTGAAATTAAAAATCATTGTCAAATTCTACTGATAATTCTGTATTTTGAAGAAAATCTTTTATTGGACCAAAGAAATTTTTATGTCAAAAACATTTAAAAATGGTTTTTCTGTACTTAAGGTAATTTAAAAATTTGAGTCATATTATGATAAAAATTATGTTCAATTAGTAAATAATAACTATAATGGATCTGTACACATGCACAAATGCTTATTGAAATTTACAGCAATAATTGTCTGCCAACAATATTTATTTATCAATTATTATTTCATGCACTTCAGTCTCCATAGCATTATCTGTGGTATTAAATGCTTAATTTTAGATAGACAATTGCTTAAATTTACCACAAAAGAATGCTTTTTATCCTGTGTTAGCTTCTGCTTCTTATTAAATATAAGTCACTGTTCTAACTGATTTTGAACATTTTATATTGTTTTTGATGAATTTAACAATATTATACATTACAAATATATACAAATAATTTATTGTATTACAAATTATAAATGTATTACAAATAATACATTTTATATGGTAAATTTGAGGTAATCAACTGCTCAAATTTACCATATTTACCATGTAAAATGTAAAATTTGCCATTTACAAATATATATATATATATATATATATATATATATATATATATATATATATATATATATATATATATATATATATATATATATATATATATATATATATATATATATATATATATATATATATATATATATATATATATATATATATATATATATATATATATATATATATATATATATATATATATATATATATATATATATATATATATATATATATATATATATATATATATATATATATATATATATATATATATATATATATATATATATATATATATATATATATATATATATATATATATATATATATATATATATATATATATATATATATATATATATATATATATATATATATATATATATATATATATATATATATATATATATATATATATATATATATATATATATATATATATATATATATATATATATATATATATATATATATATATATATATATATATATATATATATATATATATATATATATATATATATATATATATATATATATATATATATATATATATATATATATATATATATATATATATATATATATATATATATATATATATATATATATATATATATATATATATATATATATATATATATATATATATATATATATATATATATATATATATATATATATATATATATATATATATATATATATATATATATATATATATATATATATATATATATATNATATATATATATATATATATATATATATATATTTGTTGGCAGACAAAAATATAATTTGACTGATACAACTGAAAGATGTTTTAAAGGACCAAATGGAGAGTAATAATTAAAAATAATTAAATTTCTTATTAAATGCGGAAGAATCATTTTAAGAATCTGAAATCATGACAAGATTTGCTCGATTTTGATTACGGAAAAATGCCCAATTTTTCCAATTCTGATTAATCATCCCATCACTAATTTTTTATCTCTCCTAAAGTAGCAGGAGTTAGACCAAAAACTTTAAGGGATGAAACTTTAGGTAAAACATATTTTTCCCCCCAGGTTTTCCTTGTTGAAATTAAAATTATGAGAAATAATAGCATAATTTTTACTATTTAAAGAAGAAATATCCATATCAGTTACAATAAATAATTGAGAAATTTATTACAAAATCTAATTGCATTGGTCAATGATTATGTTGTGTCTATGATGAGAAAATTAAGATGACGACAATCAAGGATAAGTGAAAATTAATTTCTTGAAAACAAAATATCTTACATTAGACAGAGAGCAAGAATTAAAATGTTCAGATAGAAATTATTAATAGAACAGACTTTCAAAGACTTTAATGGAGCCAATATACTTATCAGCTCTACTATGCTGGAAGATGGCAAAAGTAATGTCGAAGTACTGTAAATACAAAAACGGAATAAGCAATGTAAATTCTGCATTTTATTTTAGAATATGGAAATATGGAAATATGAAGAGCAAATAAGGAAAAAATATTTTACTCTATCACTGAAATCATCCTAACTTGTGGTTCCAAGACAGGGAACCTAAAGAAAAAAAAATTAGATAAATATGAAGTTTGAGAGGATACTATCAAAATACCAAGCTGAACAGAAATAATTTACATACAGTATATAAATTATAATGCATTTTTAAGAAACTCCATATTTGAGTAGCACATATACGTTAATAATATAAGTAATTATTCTAGAATCTGTAATTCGATTAGTGCCATGAATAAATTCATAATCAAGTCTGCTACTGATTTTAAAATCTCTATTATGAATTTAAGATATAATTTTTAATATTTATCTCGGATGCAAATATTGTATATAATATCATGAATATATAACGGTAGCAAGTAATCAAAACAAAAAAAGAATCTACTATTGTGCATCCCATTATTCCATAAATGCATTCATTTTTAACTATAATTATGCTCAGATGGATTATAATTAATTATAAACCATCTGCGCATAATTAGACAGCTATTATTTGAGAATATTTAAATAGTTTCTTTCGGTTCAAGTCGAATAACTGAATAATTATATGGTTTCAGAAACTCTCTTTCTTGAAGCTAATTTATAACAAAAACTTAAAATACTTTCCAGTATGTCAATCGGTTAAATCGAGGTAAATTTACGTAATCGTAGGCAAGGAAGAGTCTCAAAAAGGTCGATCCTGCTAATGCTAATACATTGGTACAGTGGACGTTTGTATTCCTATGATTTGAAACGCTGTAAGAAGACAGGGTTTGAATGATTGAATAAGGGTAAAATTAAAAGGAAATAAGTAGTTATTTAGGTTATACGTAAGATTTAATGCTTTAAAGATTTTAAAGAAAACTTTTCTTTGACAGCAACAAGTTTTATATGTATTTAGCTTACAATTTGTATTACTGTATTTTTAGATTAATTTTAGATATATAANTTAACATATCCCAAAATGTGTATTTCAGCTATCATTGCTTAGTGCTTAGCCTTCTTCAGTTGGATGTAGGTCTAAAATACAGAAAAATGAAAATATTTTCCTGTATTTCAGACCTATTAATAAATAAAATGGTCTAAATTGTATATACTATGGTAACCTAGTATAATTAATAGAGTCTCATACATATGATAAGCCTGTAAATTTAAATATGTATGAGATATGATAATATATATATACATACACACACACACACACATACATACATACAATCAGGCAAGAAGTGGTTTAATTATAAGAAATAAAAATGAATATCATAAATTTGACAAAAATAAAAGAAATACAAGTCTTTGGTTATTAGTTCTTTGATTCAATATATGTCAGAAATGACAATGGAAGAGATGGTCAACAAGGTTATAAGAATAGAACTAACAGAATAAAAGTAAAAATTCCAAGAAAAATATTAAATGACATTAAGACAGACCTTAAATATGAAACCAGAATAGTTAAGAAAAGTGGTAAAAAATAATATTTAGATTTAATTAGTTTGTAAAGTTGAACATGTTAGTAAAAAGTAGATCATAAAATACAAATTCCACTCAATGTGCAAGCTCAATACTGATGACATTTCATACAAAACTAACAAAATTCATGAAGGAAAGAGTTAATTTATGAAAATACTAGCTGTTACCTGTGGCTTTGCCCGCGAGGATTTTGCAAGCAAACCCTATTATATTCAGTATTTCAACAACCATAGTAATTGTTATATAATACCTATCGCTGAGAATGATGAGAATTCCCGAGAATCAAACAAACTATTTTCAATTTGATCAATTTTCTGGAACGTTTACAATCGTTCTATAATCGAACCAATATGCAATAACAAAATTCAAATTTAAAACAGTTCGAACATTTTTAAAATCGAAATAGATAAAAATATTTATAACAATGTCTGAAATGTTATCAATTTAATACACCTAAGTACTCAATGAAGACTAAACGTAATTAAAAACAAAAATATTGCATCTAAAATAGTACAGTAGATGCCGTTCTTCTGGTTAATCCTTAATTCTCTCCCTCTCCTCCCACAGGGGAATTTCGAAAAATCCTTTCTTAGTGTGCATTCCCATGGCATACCCTACTAAAGCGCAGATAAAAACAAAATATTGCATTAAAATAATACAGTAGAAGCTGTTCTTCCGATTAATCCTTAATCCTCTCCCCTCCTCCTAGGAATTTCGAAAAATCCCTTCTTAGTGCGCGTTTTCATGACGTACCCTAACTGTGTACCAAATTTCACCTCTTTAGGTTCAGCGGTTTGCTCTGGACAATGATGAATCAGTCATTCAGTCAGGACAAGTAATTTTATATATTTAGATGAAGAATATGGCACCTGGTGATATCGATGTTCCTAAATCTACTGAAGTGTTAAATTGTGAATTAAAAGGTGAAATGATATAAATAACTGTCCACATGAAGCAATTTAAGAAAAATATTTTGAATAAGACTGCACTGGCAACATTTACAACTTCGATTTTAGAAACAATCATTTTGTTAAAAACAAATCAATCGAAATGTCTAATGAAAGTTAGAATAATAGTGACATCATTCTTGTTTAACTCGTTCAACTTTACGAATATACCCTTAGATAGCTTTTTGGTAGAAAAGCTTAAGCAATAATAGCAAGAGAATTATTGCAGACATTGCTTACAATGCTAGTACATTTAGATTATTCATTAAAATTCATTATTAGCCAATGATAAATCAATGAAGTGTGTAATAATTAAAAATTAATGAATATTTCAAAATTTTCATTCAATTTTCTTATAATTATACCAAAGAATGATAAAAGTAAAATATATATTTCTTAATCTATAATAAGCAATAAATTATGAAGATGGAAATAACTATTCTGAAAGTTAACATAGTAATTGCTGTACTGATTTCATATCTTCTTAAAATCTAAAATGATTTTATTTAATTATATTGAAAATTTAGTCTTAAAAATGAAATAATTTACATCTGAAATCATAATCTGATCAGAATATATATCAAAAATCTGTTAAATATCATAAAATAAAATTTTAAAAACAAGTGGAAACAGTTATTACAATTATTCATTCATATGATGAATGATATAGCAAAACATATTCTACGTCATTATTTTTAAATATATCTATAATGTCATTATTACTTAATGAGATTACTAACAATTTACTCATGAAGCAAAATAAACTTTTTCAAATTTGCTTTATACACAATATATTATTTATTTTTAAAAATACAAACAATTCTGCATAAGGACAGAATATTTATTTGATTTTAAATATAACTGTTCATATGATGAAACAAAATATCAATGCGCCAATGTGGACAGCTCAAAACCAGATTAACTTTAATATTTTATTTTACAAATGCATTTCGGATAAAAATAATTATGCTGACTTTATTCAGCTATAAAATCAAAGTTAAAACTGTGAAATACACAAATAATATAAGATACTTTCATTTCTTATTTACTATATATATATAACAAGAACAACCTTCTTGCTTGCATTTAAGACAGATCACATACATTAGGAGTGACCTGCTAGATGCAAAGCAAATGATTAATTGGAATTAAGTTCCACAAAGCACCATTGCAAATTGCTTTACAAAAGCAGATTTCAATCAATAATTTGTTGATACTTCAAATAAATTGAAATTTCTATCAGAATCTGCAAAAAAATAAAAAATAGATAGACAAATGAGTGATAAGAAAAATATCATTTGAAGAGTTTTTCAATGTTGACAATGACCTAGCTTTCTGACACTTGTCTGAAGACATAATCATTGTTAAATAATAAATCAAATACAAAAAATGAGAAATAAAGCTGGGAAAGAAATAAATCCTGTCAAAGTAAAATATTCTACTCCCCCTGCATATTTTCTTATGTGTAGGCCAGATAAGATCTTGAGCTTTTAAGGAACTTTCTAGAAATTAAATCACTCATAAAACAAGATGTTTTCAAGGCAGTTTGTTGACTGCATCAAAAGCAATGTTGAGCAAGAAGCAATGAATTGTTAACTACAAACTGATGTAAGAGATTTTCACTAATAATGCCAATATTGTTATTTTGTATATGTATGTATATATGTATCAACAGGTATAACTCGCCTTACGTCGGTAATTGGTTCCACGAGAGGCAACTTAAGTCGAATTTACTTGTCACTAGGCTAAACCACAAATAACCATTCCCAGTTCTGTATTTTATTTATAAATGCATTTTTAATAATATATGATTAATAAGAATTTATTTTAAGCTTACAAACAAATAAATTTTAGTTTTTAATATAGTACAGAAAAAAAGTAATCTAAATTTACGAATACATGTATGGTACGTATACACTACATACTTGTAAATATACATATTTACAATTTGGTGAAGTTTACAGTACATTGCAGACTCTTTATTTGTGAATGTGGTTTGCTCTAAGACATTATAAAATAAGAGGATTTTGTAAGGTTAAATAACAAATACAGTTATTAAAATTATTTTGTGATAGTAAAAAAAAAAAACTAATTTATGTTAATTTTTACCAATAACGAGTGGCGCTGGCAACAACGCCAAACAGTAGATATTGGAACTACTGTAAAAAATGCCAATATTGAGCTCTTTAAGACTGCTAAATAAGATGACAACACAGAGTCACAGATGTTTTCATATTTCGTTCTCTATGATTTATGATGATTATATCAACATTTACTGTAAATGTATGTATTTTAATATGATTTTATGTGCTTTTAACACTTTTCTAGTGATATTACGATTTCAACATTTGTGGCGGACAGACATAAAGTTGAATAAAATGACAAACTTGATTTTTATTTTTCATATATTGTTTTGACAAACGACATAACTCAAGGCATACCTGTATGTATCTAATAAATACATTATATTTTATTATTTAAGCTAACTATATTGTTTATATTGTGATATTTACAATCTCATTAAAATAATGGTAGTTTCCATTACTAAAAAATTTTTTCTGTCCCTTCCACTTTGACTTAGTGTGTGTCTATAATAAAAATTTTAATTACAATTATCAAAACTTATTTAATAAATTACCTGCTCTTTCTCTAGCATATCTGCTTTATGTAAAATTTTCATTGCATAAACATGGCCTGTATCTTTTTTCTGCACAAGACGAACCTCTCCAAAAGCACCTCGTCCTATCACTTTTAATGGTTCAAAATCGTCCACTCCTAATCTTGATCTTTTTAATCTCAGGAATTCTGTCTCTTTAACAGCATGCTGTTGCCTTTTTTCTTGTTTCTATAAATATTTTTTAAAGTATATATTAATGACTGTTAAATTATTGTATACCAAATTCAGTAAAGAAACAAGTATATTTTGGTAAAAATAGACACTAAATATTATATTTAATAACTATACTGTATCACATCTTATGCTCAGTAAGGTATTTGAATTTACTGTACATGACTGAAATGTGCACGTGTAGTTTTGTCTTTGCAATGATTTTTGGGTCTGTTCTCAAAACAGAATATGCAAATTCAAAAGTTACTACATCACAAAAGGATATATACCATCACATATTAATTCTACATCATCTATTCACAAATTTGAATGTGAAAATAAATATTTTAAGTTTTGGAAAAAATGTTCAAATAGTAGTAGCAGAAGCTCCACAAAATCTGTTTAAAAACTCCCTAAAGATAAATATTTACTAAAGACTGAAAGCAGATTGGTATATTGTTATTAAATTTGAAAAGAAATTGGATAAGTCTCTTTGATCTTCTAATAAAAATGCATTATTAAGTATACAAAAAAAATATATTGCAAAATTAAAACCTAAGACCTATATTTAATAAAGTTACATTTTAATACATGAGAAATTAAAAAATAAACTAATACATGAAATAGTTAAAACACGATATACATATACTAGTACTTATTTATATAAGAAAAAAAATAACTATAAGAGACAACACAATTGTTAACACAGATATACGTAAATACATACAAAGTGTGATCAAACACTTTAGGGAATTGGACCACAGAGGGCATTAGAATCAATATTATAATCTTTGCCATGGTGGAAAGCACTGTCAACTTCCTACTGCTTAAGATTCATAACAATTTGTCTATTAACATTTGAATAATAATTGCTTAATGGTGTGATTTTTGTGATTTTAGATTTTAAAATGTATAACATTAAGGAGCAAAGAACCTGCATTAAATTTTGTTAGAAACTTTGAAAAAGTGACGCAGAAACCTTTAAAATGCTGCAAACAGTCTTTGGGGATGTTACTGTGTCTTATTCAAAGGTATATGTATGGTACAGGAGATTTAAAAATGGCTGAACATCGATCAAATATAATCAGGAAGACCTTCAAACATCAACTACAGACAAAAGTAAAGACATTGCTGGCTGATTAGAAGTTAATTGAATCACTAATGAGAACTAGCAGAGAACTTGAACATCTCATTTGGTTCATGTCAATTAATGTTTCATGAATTGGGATAATAGAGATAGCATCAAAATTTGTTCTACACAACTTAATGACTGATAAAAAAAACAATCAGAAACAAATCACAGAAGAACTCCTTGAAAGAGTCAAAACAGATAGAAACTGAGATACAACATGGGTTTACTGTTATGATTCAGAAATGAAGTTGCAGTTGAATCAGTGGAGGAAGAAAGATGAAGTATGCCCAAAGGAAGCTTGCACAAGCTATTCAAATCTTATAATAATGTTCCTCATTTTCTTTAATTATCAAGGCTTTGTACACCATGAATTGATCCCTACAATATAGCAGTTAATGTGATGTTTTATTGTGGTATGTTTCACATTTACATGAAGCAGTTTGGTTGAAGAGGCCAGATTTGTGGAGAAACAATACATGATTTCTTCACCACAATAATGCCAACCACACACTTCAAGGATTTCAGGTGCATAATTCTCTCTTCTGGTGATTCCACTAATGCCATATTCATCTGCCCTCTCATTGGCTGATTCTCTTTCTTCTCACCTTAAGTAGGCACTAAAGGAATGACATCTTGAGACACAAAATGAAATAGAAAGAGCTTCAGTGAACTCCTGCATCTGTGTATCACACTGCACCTTCTAAGATTGGAAAAAACAATTTGAGTGTTAAATAATGGTTGAAGAGTCATATCTTGAAGATGATAAAGCATTTTAAAATTCAATTAAGCATGATTTATACCAAAATTCTCCAAACATTTTGATTAATCTTGTATACACACAATAAGAAATTGAAATTGTTAATAGTAGATTGCTACAACTCTACAAATAAAAAAAAACTCTGTTTACACTTACAACATTTTTTTTATCTGAATTACAATTTTAAGCATTGGGTAATTTTAAAATTTATAAATGATAATTCTATTAATTTTATTTGAATTTTGGCAGGGGCTATTTCAAAATCAACTTACAATTGGCTGGTAAAAATAAACCAGCTGCCATAGCAATATGCCACACTATGTATAGAATTAGTAAAGATATCTTTGAACACTAACTTATTGTTCAATTTTTTCATTTGTGTACAAGTAGCTAATGAATAAATATAACATTATCATTACTACTTCCACCATCTATGAAGTTAATAGTATAATATGCTCTCTTCAAACAGAACACAGTCCCACCAAAATTTCATTACAAGTAATACCCCGAACTTACACAATAGGTGGGACCGAGTGATAACCGCGTAAGTTGAATTCGCATAAGCCTGGGTGTAATTTCGCATATAAATACATACAAATTAATTTTAATTGGGGCCAGAGACTAAAGAAAACAATAATTTAGAAAAAAATGTTTAATAAAATCTTAGATAATATATATGTATGGCAAATTATATTATTACACAATTTTTCACATTTACTTGATTATCACACCATAATTTTAACATTGTTTCCATCTCAGGGATAATACTGTGACGTTTATGAATGATGCTTGAATTTAAAGATTGAGCATTTTTTACAGCTTTGAAAATTTTTTCTTTATCTTTTATAATTGTTCTATCCATCGATTCCAGTAGATCAAACTTCTTTGCCAATTTACAAATTTTCATTTTTGTATTGAAGTCTTTAACGATGTTAACTTTACATTCCAAAGATAAAGTTTTTCTTTTCTTGTTTGATGCAGAAGAATCTGTTCTACTTCGTTTAGATGACATAGTAGTCTCTCAAGTCTCTGTAGATATAACAAACACAGAAATAAGAAATAAATAACACAGAATAAATTGTAGCTGTATGTCGATTCCATGCGACATGTCCGAACATGTAAGCCGAACAACAGTGTGGGGGGAGTGAGTAATCAAGAGTTGCATGGCACTCAAACAAAAGACAAATCAAGAGATTTGAAAATTGCATAACTCCAGGTTCACATAAGTCGGGGTAGCGTAAGTCGAGGTATTACTGTACTGAATTTGTCATATCCATGGTGTTAATGTTATGAGTGACAGTTTTGTAAGAGATTGGTGCAGAAATTCAAGAAAGCATGCAAATCTGCTCCCATATCCCTGAATATCTCACACCAATCCCTTTATAGTGGAAAACAAAGATGACATTATTGTAACTGATGAACTCATTGAAAAAATTGGACCAAGTCATACATAAAAAACATCATTTCACAATTTCAAAACTTTCTGATGAATTTCCTCAAATTCAAGGACAATTCCAGTTTGTATTGTTGTTGATATTAGTTTACCACTAGTTCTATGCCCAGTGGATACAAAAGTAATTGATTGATGTTTACAAAACTTAAAGTTTAGACTCAGGCTTGATGTTTCTGTGTTACTGGGAACAAGAGGATAAATTTCTTGGCAGGACTAATGACTAAGGATAAGGTATGTGTTCAATTCTTGAATACAGAGATGAAGGAACATTCAAAACAGTAGGTATGCACATACTCCAAACAAGCCCAAACACTTCAAATAAACAACAAAGGCCATACTCTTCTGAAACTGCAAAAGAAAATTTGTTGACAGAAATTAATGGCAGCATGAACACAATAATATAAGAGATTGATTGTGAAACATTTGCTTTGAAGGTCAATCCAAAACAAAAGACACAGAATGCTCCTCAAAAGTGTTGTTCTCCTCCACAACTCCTCAGCCTCTCACTGCTGTTTGCACAAAACTTTACTTAAGCTGCTTAACCAGGAATGCCACGTAATTAGCATCATGTCAAAAAAATGAAGGCATGGCTAGCTATCCAGCAATTTGAAACCAAAGAAGAGCTCATGGATGGAGTCAACAACTGGCTGGGTAACCTGGTGGCACTATTCTTTGACAAGAAATTGCATAAGCTGGTACCATGGTACAAGTGCCTGATTTTGAGTGATATCTACATTAATTTTTTCAAATGCAGTTATGTATTAAGTTCTATACATAATATATTTTTTTCTCCTTTTTCCAGCTTGTTGGAGGTTGATTTTGAAATAATCCTCATATTTCCTAATGGATCCCTTTATTTCAAATTTAATTTACTGCTTCTCTGAAACAGTACATCAATTATTGCATTCAGCCACAAAGAAGTTAATCAGATTCTGCACTGTTTTAAGTTCATTATCAAAATTATCAAATACTTCAAATTTAGAAATATCAAATAAAAAATAAAAAATTGGCTTGTTTTCATTTGAATGACCCTAGTGTGTATCAGTAAGTTATTTTTATTGCATCTTAAAAATAATCACCACAGCTGTTAAGGCATTTATCCCACTATGACATAAGATGGTCAATTTCTCACGAGTACCTGTGGTAGAACATGGAATTGCTGCTGGAATATGCAGAAAAAGCATCTTGCATGCACCGTTTCATCCAAGTATAATCTGGTATCCTGCAAATGCTTCTTGAGTTCTCTGAAAATGTGGAAGTCACAGGGTGAGATGTCTGGACTGTATGCCAGATGCTAGAATGTTTTCCATTTGAATTTGGCATGACAATCCTTGACAATATTCATAGTTTTGGAGCACATATTATCATTGAGAAAAATCATGCCAACAATGCAATCAAGTGAAAAAGCCCAGGCTGTTTTCACTTGATTGCTCTGAGATTTCAGCTTCCACATTTCAGGCAGCTTGCATGGTGAGAAAGTCTGTAAACAGTGAGTCCATATGGTTGATAAAAAAGGTTGGCTTGTCATGTACACAGTTGTCAGCATTACCTTTGACTTCTTTGGCACTGGAGATGACTTGTGCTTAAATTGGATGCTCTGTCTTTTGCTTTCCAGTTGGTAATAAAATCACCACATTTCATCTTTACATTTCATCATAATGGTTCTGTCCAGAAAA